AATTGTTGACTGTCAAACTTTTTAGATGTCTGCAGTGGTGGAGAGAGTGAAGTATTTAGAAGCTATTAGTACTTAAATCTACTTAGACTGAGCTAAAGGTGAGTTTTTCAAGATAAACTGAGTATAGAAATGAGTTTTCTGCCGAAATTGCTATGACTTGTAACAAGGTGAAAGACTATCTGAAAGGGTATGGTTCTTGTCAGAACTGTTAGCTGTTCTTTCAGTTCTTTCAGAATGCTTGAAATGCCTCTCCCCCCACCCCCTCAGAAGGCTTTTAGCCATCTGTTGAACTAACTGGCTATATTCCTCCACTCATCTGATTAGAAGCAGACAGGAGAAGGAGTCCATTGCAGTGAATGACCTTTCAGGTATGCTCCCATATTGGGATCAGACTTGCAGTATAATCTCTGATGTTGACTGCTGAGCAATACTCTTGTCATTTTAATCCTAGGCCCCTGCTTTTGACTGGAAGTCTTGGATGGTTTGAAAAACAAACTCTGTCTTCTGTATCTGGTTCTGTCCATCAGAACCATTTATGGAGGTCTTGGGAACAGATTAGTCTGTACCAATCATCATTTTAGGCAAGTGTTTTACTTTTTTTCAGTAATGAGTATTGGTTGTTATTTTGTACAATTGTAATGGCAATATGAGAGGCATTTCATGGCATTGGTCTGTTCTTTTAGAAAGTGTGGATTACTTGATTCTGATCTTGGTTAATGCTTATTAGACTGATTTCTTTGACTAGCAATAAGCATTTTTAACACCTTAATCACAGTGTTATAAAACTCTGCTACAAATTGCAGGCCTTCTACTTAAAGTAGTATGGTACTTTGGCATTGTCAGAGAGACTTTTTTTTTTGTGGGTGTGTTGATTCCACACTTGAGCTTCCTGATAATCTGGTTTTGCGGTGTTTCAGACACGTGGCTTTTTGTCAGTTCTCCATTCTGTAAATAGCTTTTTGCCATATTCATCCTCTGAGTTCGCAGACTAAGAATACCTAAAGATGGTGTGTACACCTGGACTTTAAATATAAAGCATGTTCACTTTACCAAACATCCATTCTTCCACTTGCAGTGTGACAAGGATATTGCTATCCTCTTATTGAACTCCTGCAAACACCACTGACCCCTTAATCCATTTTAGATCATGAATGTTTACATCTCAGAGTTCATGTGCCCTCGTATCTTGTTGTCATTACATGACATGTGCTAAAACCAGGAATTTGAATGTATTGCTAATTATACTAGTCAAGTATGGTGCAAAATCGTATGCTCCTGCTGCAAGCATTTTGGAATTTAAATTAGATTTGACACAGTTGTGACTGTAAACAAAGGGAGTGGGCATGAGGATCTGAAAGAATGATCATAAGAAACTCAATTTTATGAGAAATTCAGTGTTATGTGCACTTAGTGTGTATGGGCAGTGTCTTGGGAGTCTGGTGTCAAGATCAGTTTAATACCCTTCATCTTCAGAATACTTTGACTGTCCATAACTATCCTTCCCATTCCCCTGTGAGATAGGTAAGTATTTACACCTTTTGCAGATGAGGAGAATGAGGCCCAGAGAGAAGTGTATAGGCACATCACCTGAGATGGTCATGGCAGAGCCTGGGCTGTGCTAGGCTCTTGTAGCTCCCAATCTCTTGGTCTAACCATTAGTTGAAACAGACTGTACCCTTTGGTTAGCAAAGGTAGGACTGAAAAGAAACTTCCTTCACGGCACCTTCTTACAATATTGACCATTTCAGTGGGGTTGAGTGCAAATGAGAGCAAAATCTAGAAAGGTGAAAATTAGTACAGGGGATAATTACTTGCAATGAGTTGATTAAAGCCTTTATACAAGTTATAGCCTCTAACAGGATTATTTGCTTTGGCAACACTAATTACTTAAGTACTCATCCTCCTCACTTACTGTGTGCAGGAGACATCATCACTGCTTAATAATATTGGGTTGATTTTTATTTTTGTTAGGGTCTCAGACTTTGATTCCTCTTTGTTGTTGGGAGGATTTTTCATCTGTCTGCTTTATTTGGACATCTCCAGGTATCACAACATGCTTAACTACTGTTCCAGCGCTCTACTATAGTACTGACATAAAGAACAGAACTCTCTTTTTGACTTGGTCAGCAGAAAGTGGAGTATATTCCCTAATTCATTGGAGATGCAGTAACATGTCTCTATTATGGTCTCTACTGTGGTGGTCCTAGCTTCTGGCCATACTCTGGTTTATTTAATAACTGGTGCCGATTCTTCTCAGTGTATGTATACAGCACCCATTCAGGATCACTGTAGAGTGGTAGACAAATTGGCAGAGCAGGAAAGAAGTTAATCACATATATCTGATTTCATCTGGGAGCTAACAGTCACATAAAGCTAGCAGAGAAATTTCCATAAAAGTTCTTGGCTGCTCACATCAATGTATTGGCACAAATAATCCTCATTTTATCTTTCATAAGACTCTGCTCACAAAGACTACTGGGAAACAGGCAGAATTTTCCAGAAGTTTTTCTTGGATTGTTTCTGAGTTGTAGATGAGAACTGCCTCTTCTGTGCTCACGTCCCTTTTTTCATTAAACATGCTATCCTATATTCTATGGTCTGTCTTTTACTTAAGCACTTCATCTTGAAGACCTGAAAAAGAATGACCTAGTGTATTAGCTGCATGAGAATCCCTGATTTACCTTGAATTTTCTTCTCTCCCTTAAGTCATTTGACTTTCAAATTCTATGAGCCTGCCATAAGGAGGAGCTAGCAGGTAGTAGGACTACTGCTGAGTTCTATACAAGAATTGGCATTTAATATGATTGATGAGTTATGGGCAGTGCCTGAAAGCCCCAATCAGGCTTGGAGCTAGTGTGCTGGGTGCTGTACACAGATCCCCTGCATCTAGACCTACCTAGCTGCCAAATACTGCAGTTTCTTTGACAATTTTCAGTACAAATAGCATTGTCAACACACAGATCTACTGCATATCAAAAATTGAATGTCGCACAGCATAACATAGGATTTATTATTAAAAAATAAGATGGTAGTCTATCAACTCGTTCATTTTCATATTCATTAAATGTTGTCTAGCTGACTGGTGTACGTGGGACCTTTCTTGTATTTCTTGATTGTAAGATCCTTGGGAAAGAGACTGACCTGTATTGTGCAGAGCACATTGTTGGCACTTAGCAGTATATAACTACTAACTAGAACAAAACTTTCAGATCTATTGTGAGTGATACCTTGTCATATTATTCCAGTGGCAGAGCACTAGACTGGGTCTCCTTTCATTACAGCCAGTTTTTTTTCTACTTCTGTCCTACATTCCCCATTATTTGGAAAATAATGGTCAGCTACTGCAGTTAGCTATCATTGGCCCATGCAGTTGACTCAGGTTTGTGGGGCACAAGTTAGGAATCTCACCCAAGCATCTGTGCTGCAGTTAGATAGTCCCTAAGCTGGAGTCAGCTGGCAAAGGCCAGCCGCAGGATTTTAATTGCAGTGTAGACATACCCTCTGATACAGATTTGCAGTCTTATTCTCTGCCTCTTGGGATTCCAAACTAAGGAGCTACTTTATTTGCACTTGAGAGAGGTCAGTTCTGCTACTATTAGTCACCCTATTTGATAAGCAACCTTATGCCTATTAAATTCAATATTTTGGTATAGAGAATATCATTCCTTGGTGATTGCTAGGGACATGAACTTCATTTCCATTTGGTTTAAATTTAAGAGCAAATCCATTTTCCCAACACGTGGTCATATCACTAAAGTTGGAGATGGGGGAAAATCTGATACCTTATACCTTATCTGATACCTAGCCAAAGTTAGGATTGTGTGCTGAGTCTCCCAGAGATGCGATCCAAGCAGGCACGGCCAGGATGTAAGTGACTAGGGTGTCTTTAGGCCACCTTTGTGCCCTCAGGATTCTAGACAGTGGGGATGTAAATGGTGTGGTTCTCCCCTCATCCCCCCTCCCCCCATCAGTTAACCAGTTAAACATAATGTTAACTGGTTAACCAATGAAATAGGATTTACCATTCCTACCAGGTAATTCCAGGGGCAGTCCCTAGCTCCCACAACCACCACAAAGATGTGCACTATGGCCCCATCTCCTATGTCACAGCTGATGAGGTATCTGCATAAACACTACATGCACCATGGGAATTTTCACTAGCCAGATAAGGGCTTTTCTTGTCAATTTATGCTCTCTATAGTGTGTAGGGCCCCAGGGGAGTCCCTAGAAGTAGAGTTCTTCCTAATATATCTAAACCACAGCCTCTTCTTTCCAGTGTAGAATTGTTCCCTGTGGAGTATTTCCTAATAATGATTTATCTTGAGCTTTCATATGCTGCTGTGATGGGGGCTGTAGGAGAAAAGATGAAACTAGATGATTGAAAAGATACATGGTTATTTAAGATTTTCTCAAAGAAAATGGACTCAGGCCTCAAGATTTGCATCCTTGCGATGAGAGGCAACTAGCTACAAGCTGGCTCAAGCCTGCATGTAACCGTGAACACCTTCAGATTCCTAATTGTAATAGTGAAAGCAACTTCCTGATAAGCTATGTAGGTTGAGTTTCAAGGACTAATGCTCATCTCCTAAGCTCTAGGATAACCAGCACTTGATTGCTGTCTTTTTTCAATCAAATTATTTATTCTGCAGGTATAAGGTTGTGCGTGTAAATACTGATCTCTTCTAAAACAGTGTTATGGTAGTAGTTTTCTTTATTAGTCAGGAAGCACTTTAGTTCTATCTGCTGCTGTTTTGCACCCCTTTCACCTGTCCCAGGTACATAGATAACATTTTGCATGGCTATCTTCTAATGTGAAGCTGCCTGTTAGCTGGGTTGGAAGAATACCTTTGGTATTGTTGCATTTGGGAAGACAAATGTGTACTGAAACAGATGCTTGTGGCTGTTCATCTGAGCATTGGACAGAAGGCTAATGCTGAAATGTGAATATAAAATTCCCTTTAAAAAGACACATTGCCAACCTCTTTGCTTCTGTTTTCTAGCTGTCCCATTTCCTCCCACGCAGCGGCTCACACTGAAGGAAGTGTTTGAGGATGGAAAGCCCAGGCTTGATGTCTTGAAAAGCCACTTGGTGAAGGAAGGGCGGCTAGAAGAGGATGCAGCGTTGAAGATAATCAATGATGGGGCTGCCATTCTGAGACATGAGAAGACAATGATTGAAGTAGAAGCTCCAATCACAGGTCAGAGAAAGCTTTCTGAAGCTAAAGTCACATGTAAGGGCTGTCTAGAATCTCGAGCTACCAAAAATAGCAGATCTGCTGCTGAACGTTCTTTCCGTGATTGTTCAGCCAGTGGGGTTTTAAAATTGCCTTTACTCCCAGAAAAGGGAACATTTTGGTAGAATAGATTGTTTTCACAGAAGCAGGATATAATGCCACAGTAGGTTAGGTCAAAGGGAAGCTATGCTCCCTGTAGCTGCCGTGACCTTTCTCTTCTTAGATGTAATTTCCTTTTTTGCCATCTTTTCTCCCTTAGTGTGTGGAGACATTCACGGGCAATTCTTTGACCTGATGAAGTTGTTTGAAGTTGGAGGATCACCCAATAACACCCGCTACCTCTTCCTGGGAGATTATGTGGACAGAGGCTACTTCAGTATAGAGGTGATAATTAAATCTGTAACTTTGGAGGTTACCATGTTAATGACTGAACTAAGCTTAACAAATATTTATCTTAAAATGGTGTCAGTTCTGATATGCTTCTGTGTACGAGGAAAGCCACATTGCTATAGATCATCTACTTGCAATGTGATTTGTTGGAAAAGTGGTGCAAACCAATGGGGCATTATTTTTGAGGCAGGTTGAAAGTTGTGCCCTCAGCATGTAGTGACAGAAAAACAGCTGTGCTGAGGCTAATGTCTAAACTCTTGATTCTGAATCTATAGCTTTATTGTCACATGTGCTGTCTGTCTGACTGAGCAGAACAAGGGGGAGGACTCCTCACAGGAGTTCTCCTCACATTTCCCATAACACACAATGGAGTGTTGGGTTTCCTAGCCCAGATCACGTGGATTCATTAGCCCCTAAGCATCTAGCGCTGCATGAATGTAGAAAGCTGGCGTTAAAGGATGGACTTTTACCTAAAATATTGGCCTTTTTGAGCCACACAGTAATCTCAGTGCAGTGTCCCTTAACTGTCATAGGTGGGAAACATCTAAAAAATGTTACCAAATGTTACTTGTTATACTGAATCTTTTCCTAGAATAAGCACTAATCTGTCAGTCAGCTCCACATGTGGGCAGGTTGTTGTCAGTGTAATGTCAGACACTGCACCAGGATTTTGTAGTTTTGTAACCCCATTCATTGATCCTGTGGTATTGCAGCTAGAGAAAGTTGAGAATTGTCAGCTTTAAAGTACAGATTAATTGATTTTTGTTCATTTACAATTAGCTATTAGCTCTTTCAGCAGTTACTGGTAACTGAGCTAGCACATAGTACTTGTGTCAGGAGGTGGTAAAAGTTACTAGTAAATGCCACAGACCTGCAGAGGATGTAATGTATTTTGCATGAAAATGGAATTGACTGGTAGACGCACAGAATCTCTATTAACATTTTGAGAGTATCACAGGAAATACAATGGCCAAACTAATGATGCCAGGTCTTGTTTCTAAAGGAAACAGAATAAGATGCTGCATAGCAATTTCAGTTAATATCTGATGTGAGAACAAAGGTAAGGAAGATCTGACCTATTGGAACTCAAACAGAATTTGTTTGCAAAGATCAGTTAAAATACCACTACCAGAGGCAGCAAATAGGGTGTTTAGTGTAAATAGTTGTTTGAAGGATATTTACTATCATAATATTTAGCAGGGTGCCACTGCCTATTGCATTTTGGCAGATTGTTGGCCTCCTTCCATCCTCATGCTTCTGTGCTTCTACATATTGATTTTAAGCCAAGGTGAGACACTGAGCAGTTGCTGGAATAGTGAACACATTGATGCTTGAGAAGCTGAATCCTTAATGTTCAGCCAGTAGAATTTATGTAGTGCTGGCACGGGTGCCTTTGTGTATTATTCTTGGAGGGGCGAAGGAATGACAGGAGTTTCATGCTATTTCTTTTGAAACACTGGAGTATGCACAAACCACTCTGTTAAGAGTTTAAAAGTGTTTACCTGACAGAGACATTGTCAAATGCCTGCTTAATCCCTCATTGGTCTGAGGTACATTTCTTTTGTGGTGTTAAAATTGATAGGTGAGAATTAATTGTATACACACTACAGTTTATGCTCTAAAGAACAAGGACAGGGAGGGGGCTTCCCACCCCCAGACTTTGATCCTTGCATCGTATCAAACAGGCTAGTTTGTCTGCCATGTGGAAAGAAAATTAAGTAGGTGCATAAGTACTATGGTGATAGGTAAATTTGAACTAAAAATGGGAGAGTTCCAGAACTAGGAAAAAATGCTTCAGGCAGGAAAATGGAACATCAAGTAATCTTTCTGGGGAGAGGGATGAGCTGAGAATCTTATTGGGGAGTAAAAACTGCAAATTTCAGTCAGCCAAATTTTGCTTGATCTGATCCCTTTTTAAGCCTGATGCATCTTAAAAGTTGGAGCAACCCAGCACTTTCAGTCTTTGGAGACATTTGGGACAGCTGTTCTTTGTATTCTGTCAGCATGAATCCCTTTCATGCCATTCTTGACCCTCCTCTCCCTCTTACCCTTTGAGTCCACAGGGGAGATAAAGCCATGAGGCATTCTTTTTCCCCACGGAGCAAGCATTGATCTTTCACGAAGCAGGGTGGGCTTTGATTAGTACACGCGGGGGCTGATCCAAATGTCACTGATAAAACAGAATATAGAAGGCTTGCTTCCTTGTGCTTATTGATGTGTGCCTTTTCTTTCCACCTACTGTAAAGTATTTAAAAGAGATTCCCATTTGGGTGTGTAATAAACTACAGCAGCACCAGTTTTTATAGTGAAATGGCAGCCGTTCAGCAGACTGCTTAGACAACAGCTGTGTAGGCAAAGCAGTGGCTAGCTAACACGTGGTTAATCTGGTTCTTTATAGTTTTTTCAGGATTTCTAACATACACCGTGCAAACATTTTCAGTGGTTACTAGATTCAGAAGGCCAACTGCTGTGATGAGATACTCGAGTGCTTTAGTTTTGCAGGCAGTCTGTTTATCTCAGAGATTCAGGTTGTAAGGAATTCAGACTTTGCTGTGCTTTCCACTTCAAAAAAGTGAAGAATGCTGGCATCCACAGGGACTTTAAGTCATAGCACAAACTTGTGCATCCATATGCTGGGAGGGCATATTATCAAGTGTCTGCCCAAAGTGGCTGATAATCAGGGGTTGACAATTATGGAAAACCCTACTCGCCAGACAAAAAAGGGACTCGCCACCCTCCCCCACAAAAGGTGTTTTTTAATGGCATAAATTCCTAATAAGAATAAGAACAATAATTACTAATAAGTTATTAATAAATATCACCCAGGTTATTAATAAATATCTTATAAATCTCTACCTTTTCTCTCTGCTGCCATGTCTCCTCCCCTTGCTCCATCAGCTCCTCTGATGCCTACTGCCTCCCAACCCCTTACCCTCTGCTGTCCTGACTCCTGCCCTTCTCACTGCCCTCAGCCTTCCTGAGACCTGCCCCCCTCTTCCAGCCCTTCTTTTCGCCCTGTGCCCACTCCTCCAGTAGCCCCACTCTGATCATGTGAGCTACCCTCCTCATCCCCTCTCCTAAAACCTCCCTCTACACACCTGCCCTGCCTCTGGTGCTGGTCCCTCCCCTGCAGGTGTCTGCCCTTCTACTTCACCCCCAGAATCCCTTGGCACCTGCACCCTCCTGGTGCCTCCCCCTTCCCTCACTGCCCCTACCCACTTTGCCCACTCCCTCACCACCCTCTGCCCCCGTTCCCCTCATGCCCCTGTGCCCTCACAGATGCCTGGCGCCATCCCCGCCTTCCTCATGCCCACCCCTTCTTTCAAGTTTTCTCCCAGCACCTCCCCTCCCCCTCTGGCCCCCAGTGCCCTTACCCTCTCCTCTCCCGGCATCACCCTTTCCCCCCTCCCACTGACACCTCCTCTCCTGCCCTTTTCCTCATTGTCCGCACTTGGCCCCCTGGCATTTGTCTCTCCTGCAGCCCTGTCCCTTGGTGCCTTCCCCTTTCTTCTTCTTCTTCTCCTGACCTCCTCCCCTCAGCACAAGCTCCTTCCCCATATTTTTCCCCTCCCCTCCCCACAGCCCAACCCCTTCCCCTCCCCAGGGGCCAGCTCTAGGTTTTTTACTGCCCCAAGCAAAACATCTCTCCTTCCCCCCTTTGGTGTTGTCTTTTACACATGTTTGCATTTTACAATGGGTTTTTTTTTGTTTTTCTTTTTTGTCCCGGCATTTTAGCCCTATAAATAGCAAATATTATTTTCATTCGTTTTTTTCCATAAAGGCAAAGGCGCTTCAAGTGAACTCCCCCTTTCACTCGCTGTTGGGTCACAGCAGCCTTTTCCCTGCCCTGTCCAGCCCCTCCCTGTGGGCAAGCACCCTTCACTCCCGACCCACAGGGGGAGCAGGGTGCAGGGACAGCACAGAGCCAGAGGGGTGCAGAGAACAGTAGGGGCGTGGCACGGGGAACCGGAAGCACAGAGCCAGAGAGATTGGGGGTAGCAGGGTGCGATGGAAGCACGGAGAATGGGACGCGGGGAACAGGAGGGGCAGAGAGATCAGGGTCTAGGGGCAGTGCAGGGAATGGGCAGCACAGAGCTGAGGGGGCAGGGATCGGGGGGAGCAGGGTGCGTGGTGTAAGGGCAGCGCAAAGCCAAAGGGTCACAGGGAAGAAGGAGAGCAGAGGGTCCGGAGGTGGCGCGGAGACAAAGGGGGGCTGGGGCCAAGCCAGGAATGGAGCTGGCTGGGTGGGCCCTGGCTGTGCCGCGCGCCGCAGCCAGCTCCTGGGGACACGTGGCCAGAGCCGAGCTGCCGCAACCCTTTAAAATCAACGGGGCCAGGTCACACCAGCGTCCTCGCACTGGAGCTGCACGCAGGCAGCCTGGTGGGAAGAATCGCCGCACTTCCCCCTTCCCAGCGGCGCTGTGTTCCTCCACCGGCCAGTGGATCGGATGGGGCCGCGCCGCCCGTAGTGTGGGCTTCAGCCAGCCCGTCACAACAACCCACCAGGCCAGTCCGCCCCTGCACTCACCAGCTAGAAAAATCTACTCACCGCGGACAAGTGCATTTGTTGAGCCCTGCTGATAATCATGACCTTTTAATTGAGTGAAATAGGAGGTACTTGTATAATTGCATCGTGATGTATGCAGTCGGGAAGCAGGGTGTAAAACTGAGGCCCAGGAAGGTGTTAAGACAAACTCTTAGTTGTCTTTAAAGACTAAACTCTTAGGCTACGTCTACATTGGCCCCTATTCCGTAATAGGGATGCTAATGTAGCACTTTGGAATAGGCAAATCCGCGGGGGATTTGAAAGTAGGAATAAGAGATCCTCTGGAAAAGAGCTTATTTTCCAGAGGATCGTGTCCAGACTGGCGCTTTTCTCCGGCTTATCTACAAGCCGGAAAAAAGCGGCAGCCATGTTAATGGAAATACCGCGGGATTTGCCTATTCCAAAGTGCTACATTAGCATCCCTATTACGGAATAGGGGCCAATGTAG